GTGTTGCTTCATGTAGAAGATCTATTTGGAACTCGATAACTCGATCTGGTGGTAACCCAGACAAATCCTCTGGAAAGACTTTCGGGTCTTCATTAACAATCGGAATCGATTCTTCTTTTCCTTTTTCTTTCTTCACATTAATCACATATGCCAAACATCCTTGACACTTCTTCTAAATACACTTTTGAGCTTTCAGCACAATTAAGAGATTGGTATGATGATTCTGACGATCACCATAAATAATAATTGTTCATTTTTCTGGCAAAATGATTCTGATCATTTTCTTATTACAAATAATACTGACCTTATATTCTACAAACCAGTCCATACCCACCACTACATCAAATTCCTTCATCGRCATAGGGAATAACCGAATCGGTAGTTCATACCCCTCAATAACAATAATGTTGTTATTGAATACACTAGTAACAGATTCTTGACTATTAGCAGTATCAACTACTAATTCATCATCAAGTAAAACATAATTCAAACATGCAATTTGAGCAAACGAGGGTGATACAAATGAAAAGTTTGCACCAGAATCAAATAACACCTTAACACGTATAGAATTCAGAAGGAAGGTATCTGTTACTACATTTGGCGATGCCTCTGCCTCATTCTTTGTCATCTGGAAGGACCGTCCCCATGCTCCTCATTGCCCTCCTCTAGATACAATAGGTCTTCCCCTAGTACCCGACGCATTACTTCCCATTGTCAATTGTGGAGTTCTTAACAACGGACAGTTTGGTCGTATACGGTCCGAAGAATTGCAATTGAAACACCTTCGGTCCATCTTACCTTGATGAACCTGTCGGCATTGTGAACAGACTTTCTCACTGCCCTTTTGTTTAGCTCTATTATCATATTTAACTACTTTTAGCCCTCAGAAGTTAGATGAAGGCCCTTCCAATCTTCTCTTCTTTACAACCTTTCCTTCTACTTATCGATTCTTATTCCGTTTTATAACTTCGGCCGCATCCACAGTTAGTGAAACGGTATTAGGATTGATAGCAATTACGAATTCACGAATTGAAGGTTTCAATCCCTAGATATATCTTTCTACCTTCCTGGATTCTGATGAAATATAATGTTCAACAAATCGAGAGTATTCAATGAATTTCTCAGTATACTCCTGAACCGTTCCATTTCCCTGTTCCAATAATGGACGTCAAAGTTTCCCTTAACTTTCCCATTTCCTTCGCCAGCATATCTTTGGTTATATACTCTGGGTGTGGCACTGATCTTTCCTGAACATTTCCAGAATGGGATTCTTGATGCTCATAATGCATCTCAGCCCGACCCCTTCTCTAAGACTGACTTATCCTTCTGCCTCGTCCTCTGGGTCCTCCCCGACCTCTATTTCCAGAAGTGCTTATCGAAAGATTAACATGTGATTATTCTCTTTCCTCAGACTCTGAACGGGCTATTCTTTCAGATCTCCGTGTTCGGCTAGACATCTGCAGATTTTAGTGTTAATAATCACGTATTCACATTCCCAAATATAATAAAGTATTCAAGTTCAGATATGTACCTGTAAATTCATAATTATACTGGCCAGATGTAATTAAAATTTACCTTACACACTGTTCTTTCAACTCATCATATTTATTTCCAATGATGCTAACTATGTATGGGACCCTTAACATGCAAAAAAACAGTTTAAGTCTAGGTATCATGTTGTTAAATACTTAAATCCCTTAAACTCAGTCTCTGATACCATTTTCTGTAACACCTCATTCCACACATTGCATGTAACATATACTTCATACACAAGAAATACATGTTTATACACCACATAGGTCCCTTAGTACAAGAATCTACCATTACAGAATATATGGTCCAAAAATTCAAAATACAATTCTTTCACTATTTCATATTTAGCTAACAAAACTATACATAACATAGCCAAATCTTCTACCAAATATGCTCCTAAGAAAATATCACAATTTTCCTTTCCCCATACTGTCTGAACCTCCTGCAACACATATTTAAAATCACAAAACGAGGGTTAGACCGAATGGTCTAGTGAGCTTCCCTTTTTATGTTATTGAATGGTGAAAATCACCAAAACTTTATGTAAAACAACTTTTCATATATATATATATATATATATATATATAACAGATTTATGAACAAGCAAGAACATAATTATCAATATTTTTTCATTTTTCAACCCAAGCATTCAGCTATTCAAGTAACATACCTCAAACCTTTATAGGTTTGAACCAACCAGGTTTTATTTAATGTCACTTTTTAACCTTTTCAATTAAATAAGGTTTATTCAAAGTTTCAGGCCAAACCTGTTATTTTCTCTTCAATAACATCCAGACTATGATTTCCAATAAGAACCCTGATCCTAACCTTTAAATCGCAAAGAAATAAAGATTCCAAACCACGGTAATTTTAAAGGATATAATAGTAAGAGTTATATCACATAACATACATATAAATGTCACCCTTATATCCAAAGGTACACTTCTCCTTGATATGTCACCCTTATCGCATGGTACACCTCTTCTTATTATGTCACCCTTATCCCATAGTACATCTCTCCTTGATATGTCACCCTTATTTCCTCATCAAAACATTTCGCAAAACAATTCCATATAAAACAGACCGCAATAATAAATGTTCCAACGGAATATCATCAGTTCAAAATCATCTTTATTAAAATTCCGATTTTTTATAAAAATGATAAAAAAAATAACAATTTATATAAACAGTGCACAAGTCAAAGTGCTAATCCGGTCAACATAGACTTGGCCGGACTTCATTTCCAGTCAAGCCTTGGCCGGTTTAACCAATCCGGATAACACTACAACTTGTCTGATTTAACAATCCGGACAACTTTCTCTTGAAGCCTTGTCCGATTTACTAATCCGGACAACTTCTCAAACCTTGTTCGATTTACCAATTCGGACAATACATACTCGAAACCTTGTCCGATTTAAAATAAACCGGTCATCTCTTGGTCGTATTCATACTTCTCCGTTCAAAATACTTAACATAAATTCAAAAGTTCATAAATCGCTCAACACATAAACCGGCTAACACATTAGTCGGATTACCCTTAAACCGGAAGAGACTATGTCCGGTTTATATTTAAATCGATCAACCCTTGTCTGGTTTATTATAGTCCGGACAACACATCCGATTTAACATAATCCAGTCAAAATTATCAATTGTCAGGTAAACATTTCAAAACTCAATTAAACATACAATTTAAAGTGTTTTGAAAGCATTTAACCACTCACCTTATGCAATTTCTTTTGAAAATCAGTTGAATCTAACTTCTTGAAATCAGTCAATAAGTAATCTGGACAAGCTTCTCTCAAATCTCTCTCTGATTTCCAAAATGGCCAAGAGGTTTATTTGAAAACCTCACTACATATATATATCCCTTTCTATAAAAAGAAAGGCGGCTTAACAACCCTTTTTATTCATGCCTACCCCATGCATGCCTACATAAATAATTCATGCATATAATAACCATGCATACCAACTTCATGCATACTAACATATTTTTAGTTATGCATACTCACATTATGCATACACATTTATGCATAGAAATTCACATACTAGCATGATCAAATATTGCAATTTATCATGTTGTCACATAATCATTTAACTAGTAATCACATATTAATTACCTCGGATGATAACTAGGATGATAATCATTTAAAAGCTATAAAACTACACCTTCATCTTCCGCATACCCATGTGATGAATTATGCGGTACTTTACGGTCAAAACCACAAATGTTGACCAAATGAAGAGATATGATCACTTCTTTACTTCTCAAATATTTACCACTTCTCAAATGAACCTTACCCTATATATATCGTGAACCCGCGCAAGCAACGAGACACATGAATATAAACGATTTTTTTAAATCTTTGATAGTTTTGTTTAAAAAGATTTTAAGGTATTACAACGCTAAGATGTGCTTAATCTCTACAAATTTATATATTTGAATAGATAAAAGTTATGGTTCTAGTTACCACAAATAAATCAAAAATTTAATGGTCACTTTTTGAATAAAAAAGCTTCTCGTAGGGAGAGACCTATGAACCCCGAGTGAGGCCCACAAGGAGAGACCTATGAAGCCCCGAGTGAGGTCCCTTGCACATGCTCAACTTATTTCCACAAGTCAAATTTTTTTTGGGGGTATGAATAATGCATCCGGTAGACCTTGTAGGGTGCTCCAAAATAACTATAAAATAGTGAGAACATCAACCAAAAACTCAAAAAGGTACTTCAAAAACAATCAAAAAAATCCTCTAAACAGCGAATTTGACAAAGAAAAAATTCTTACACTATATAAAAAACCAAAACATACCAAACATTGTTATAATTTGTCTCATAGAAAGATGGTGTTGAATCATTATCCAACAAAAACCATAAAAAGACTTCAACAAATGAATTAAACCTCCTTTAAAAAATAATATAATTAAGGTTAATTAAACTCCCTACAAAAATTCATATTGAAAGGCTACAAATCAATAAATGTTAAAGAGGAGATGGAACCAGAAACTCCAGGTGAAAGAATCTAGTAATGTTCAACATATAAAAACTTTTCATATAGAAAGACTAACCATAACATATATAAACAAGTGTAAACTTTCCAATATCTTCACACATATAGAAAGATAGATGGACTAGTGTTTCGATGTGATCAAAGTCGGGTAAGAATGGAACCTCAAAACCTTTTTGTGTTAGCCGCCTACAAATGTCAATCAACAAAACTATTGGACATGGATAACATCAAAAAATAGGAAAAGGGTGAGATTGTATGTAAAATCTATGGATGACATTTCTGAAATATGCAATTTGAACCAATTAATAAGAGATTGTTTTTCAATGTGTTCATGCCACCGATAGGTTCTGCAATCATGTGAAGGTGGCTTTGGCAATTCTAATATCATCTTTATATAAAGGTTTCTCACCATCTACATACAACACCTACATTGAGAAGCAAAACATAATACTGTAAGTCCAAAATATATAAAAAGAGAATGCAGTAACTTACATATTGGAGACTAACTCTTTACTCAATCTACAAAACATTTAGTTGAATAACAAAAGTGTTATGATCTATAACATTGACAGCGAGAAAGGTTATTTTCTTTCATCAACGTTGCAACAACGGTGGAAACTGGCAGTATATCCGAACCTTCTTTGGCTTACTAACACCAACCATATGTTCAGTGCAATTTAAACTCTGTAAACCAAAAGAAATACATATTCTAACTTCAACTATGATGGGAAGCATGCTTGTCCTTTCAAAAGACCTGTTGCATTATTACATAAAAGTTGTACCTGCTACTGTGTAAGAAAATAATTGAAGAAACAAATAAGTCATTGAAGAAAAAATATTTACAAAGAGAGAGGTCAAACTTGGAGATCAATGGAGAAACCCTAATTCAGACATCAAACACCAAAGAAACCACTATAAATCAAAATAATTCACCAAAGAACCATAAAATCAAATCGAAATTCAACTGACAATACAAAACATTGATAAAAGCCCAAAATATAAAATATATTAAATAGAGAAGGAGAAATGAAGCAGGGACAATGACAATGGAGAGGTTGAAGAAACAAAGCATAACCATTTCATCAGATATAAAATGATCTATAAACTTAAGAGAAATCTATAGCCACCTCAAGAATTGTTGTCTGAGATGAAGCAAATCTGATGAATCGTCACCTTGGAGAATGAGAGTCAGTTGAACTTAAGTCCTATAAATACATTAGGGAATATCATTAGACTTTTCCATTTATTTCCACATGAATGAAATTTGTTCCCTGGTTAAAGTGATTTGTAAACCAAAATTAGTCATTAAGTACCTCTTAGTTTGCAATGTTACAAAAGAGAGATACAAATTTCTTACCATCCCTCCTTTTTGAATGAAGACACTTTGACCTCTAATGTATATCCATCAACGTGTGAATATCTGTAGTCCGATAGCACAGAGACATGACAGTAACAATTTGTCAAACTCATATATCACAACCTACCTTTTAAAATGGTAAAGATGTTATTGAACATCATGAAGACGGCTATCTTCACCGATGTGTTACATTAGCCTCTTAAAATATGACACTATAAAACAGATAGCTAGATTTTAGCTTTTTATCATCACTTAAAAGATTAGATTTTGCAGTATGTTAGGGTTGATTGAGAAACCATGATTGGCAGACAAATTTTGATTTCTTGAGTTCTTTAAATCCCAATTATGGCTCAAAGCAGAAAAATATATCCCATTTCCATAATATAACATCAAAAAATTTAATTGTTGCCTATAATCGTTGTTCATCTGTCATCAACATATTCCATTTTACAATTTTTAGCATTCTTCTGCTTAAATTACAAAGGTCTCAGAAAAACATTATATCCATCATAAATCAATGATCAAATAACGCATTGTGCTTGACAATTATTAAAAATAAAGAATGCCAATAAAAGAACCATTTCAACAGGTTCCATGTTCATATATATGAACCATTTCAACAGGTTCCATGTTCATAAGAACCATTTCAACAGACTTTTCCTTTTCAAACTATGAACTGTTTGAAGGAAATTATTAATCTATAACACAAATACACAACTAACGTAAAGGAGGTTCTATTACACTATCAGAACATATAATACATACCAGGAAATAAATACACAATTAACATGAAGAAGGTTATATGTAAAAGGATGTGGTAAAATGAAGTTATCAATCGAGAATCAGTCAAGCATTTTTATGAAATAATAAGAAGCCCAAGTTAGCAACTCAAACTACATTACAAGCTTTACAATTCATCATCTCATAACATATGAAGTGAATTAGCATGCAGTTAATGGTGCTATCCAGAAAGTTAGCAGTTTAAGTTTAAACTAATCTTAAGCAACAACAATACAACCAAGATGTAGCCAATAAAGACTAATTCTTTGCAGATTTCAGGAAGTGGACTGATTGTCATTATGGTGATGATGGTATGAGTAAAGAGATCAGTTTGTATCAAATAAAGTCAACAATCAGAAATGAAAGGGACGTCAATTTCTCCATATTTATTTCGAGTGAACAAAAAAATATTAGCCAAAAAATACCTCGAAGATCAAGCTCCCACAAAATGATTAAGGTTTTGAAGTTCATTAAAGATGCATTTGGCACACAGGTAATACCTGAGCTCATGATAAATAACACCCGCTGAGTGTTCACAATATTTATGGCAAGTACAAAAGGCTGCAACAAGTTCAATTAATGTAAACCATAATCCCATATTTTTTGAAGTTATATTTGATAGGCATTTGAAACCATAAGTAGATTAGTGAAACCATAATCTCTATTAATTGTAAGGAGCCATGTTTCTTTTTTTTTATTATAGAAATTATACTCGTAAGTAGACTATTGAAACCATAATCTCTATTAATTGTCCATTTGTCCTACTTACAAATTAAAGAGTATCACCTTGGCTGAAAGTGTTAGTAGGTCCTGATCATGAGCATCTAACAAATGAGCAAGATCAACCTGCAAGAGCAAGCCAATTAATTCCATTATGTAGTAAATAAATGGGATATCAATAGAAATCTAGTATTCTGACACCACATCACTTCGATTAAGAAGAACCATTTCAACAGGTTCCATGTTCATATGAACCATTTCGACAGGTTCCATGTTCATAAGAACCATTTCAACAGACTTTTCACTTTCAAACCGAAAACCTGTGGAAGGAAATTGTTAATCTATAACACAAATACACAATTAACGTGAAGAAGGTTCTATTACAATATCTAAACATATAATACATATCAGGAAGTAAGCTTCCATAATGGTACACACTACAAAGTGAGAAAAATTAGGTCAAACCTATCGTCATTCAAATCAGAAAAGGAGAAATCCACAGATAGATGAGATAATCAATCGATTACCAAAAAGAGAAATCGAGAGATTGAACCTGGTACAGGGGAGAGTGTGAGAGAGATGGAGAAAGCCGAAGTCGATTTCAGAAAAGAAATCCACAGATAGACAACGACAACCGGCCGACTATTTTGAAGAGAAATCCAGAGAGCGACCTTTGAGTCAGGCTGAGACAAGATGGATCTTGCTCTACAAGTCAAATGAACTAGTGTATTTTGGTACTAAGATGGAGGAGCGATGGAGAGCAAGAATGAAGGAACCAATGTGTTTTATCATGAACCGATCTTGAACCTTGGGAAATCAATAATCACCTCGACAGACACAGAGGCGTAAATCTATTCAATTGGAAATATAAAGTTCTTATGGGAAGCTGTAATATGATCTTAGGGAACCATAGAGATTCAAATCCTAAAACTTTGAAATTGTACTTTAGGTTTGTAGACAGTAATTTATGCATTTTGGGTTTTAAACTTGTACTTAAGACTTTAAAACTTTTATTAAATTTGGTTCAAACGAGACCTTCTGTGATTTACGAGAATGCGAAAACAACCTACAAATCAAGTAATGTGATAACAATAAAATTTAAAGGATTTTTTAAATTTAAAACAATATTAAAAACAATTCAACATTTTTGAGAGATGAAAGGGTAACTTTGAAATTCGAAGTGATAATATTTAAATAACACGATCACAAAAAACACCAATCATCTGGGAACTGATAACACCATCGTCAACGGTGGTTATCTGGTTATCTAGTAGGCAATTATTAGAGGAAAAAGATTTCATTAGTTTTTTGAAGACAGAAAGTGCACCAAAGGAAGAAATCAAACTGGAAGAAGTTTGCAGACACATTTGATCAAGATTTGCTTATCACAACTTTTATCACACTTAGACTATGAATCGATCACCGTCGCTCGATTAGGACATTGTTTGGTTTGATTAGAGTTCGGTTATCACACGATTTTCACAAGAAATATGACTACAAGGTTGTTCGGTTCAATGAGGTTTCACTTAGAACACAATTATCACACCAAAAACTGAATCGACTTTTAGAAGATTATCACAAGAAATCCGACTATACTTGGTTCGGTTCGATTAGGTTTCACGTATTACACGATTATCATACCAAAAAACAAACCGAGTATCACAAAATTATCCAAAGAAATCTGACTACACTTGGTTTGTTTATATTAGGTTCCACGTATCACACGATTATCATACCAAAAAACGAATCGAGTATCACATGATTATCACAAGAAATCTGACTACACTTGATTCAATTCGATTAGGTTTCACATATCACACGATTATCACACCAAGAAGCAAATCGAGTATCATACAATTATTACAAGAAATCTGACTACACTTTGTTCGGTTCGATTAGGTTTCACGTATCACACGATTATCACAGTCCAATCAATATCGATTTGTCAGACGATTATGGGATAATGCCAATTAATTAAAATAAGATAAAAATTATAAAAATACCTAATTACATTACTAGCCTTATTGATTTATTTTTATTTAATATAACTTAAATTATTTGCTAAAAAGATTTGAGGCTCACAACTGTTCTTGCATTCTCGTAAATCACAAGAGTTTTCGTTTGAACTCCGACAGCCTTAGATATACCAAGGTGCACTGAACCAATCCCCTTATCAAACATGATTCATGGGTGTGTTTGAGATTCAAGGTGATCAATGGTCTAGATCATTTCTTACGTTTCTCATCCTAACTCCCATTCTCACACGATCATTCGCTTAATGCTAATATTGCATATATATTTACGGTTAACTATTTTTATACAAAGTTAGCTTCAACATCAAAACATAATTTTTTTTAACATAATATCAAAATATATGACATTCCCTATACGAAGAAAAGGCAATATAAATGAAAATAATTTACATGTAAAGGTGAAACAAAATGACAAAGAGAGTTATTAAAACTATTTTTTAAATTAAATATAAGGCTTTCATGTAAGCCTGTCATAGAATAGAAGAGAAGCCCAAGAGAAAAGGGTCCATCGATCCCTAATCTCAACCCCGTTCACGCAGGAGAGTACCAAATCTTTCTCCACGGTGGTTGGAGAAAAGGTCCGCAGCTACTGCCGAGTGCAACAGAGAGAGGAGACTGGGAGTGAGTCCAAATCGGGCCTATGGCTTCGTGTCCTCATTTGAACTCGTCTATGATGTTATCGAAGCCGAAGCATCCGATTGCTTCATTTTGTCCCCTTGATTTTCCCAACCCACAACATTTGTCATCATTGTCATTCATTGCCTCTCCGATTGGTGGTGTAAAATCTGTTAGACGCCGGTGTAGGCAAACAAATCAGCGGTGTTCCTTGGTAAGTACTTTAATCTCTGCTCTGTTGTCAGCATCTTTAAATGCATTTGGTGTTTCGCAAGCTTTATGTGGAATTGGGCTCATGTTCTTCGCTTATTAGCAGATTTTGGCATCAATGGATAACCCCAAGAAGCCTCTGAAAATTATGATATCTGGAGCTCCTGCTTCTGGTAAAGGAACACAATGCGAGCTAATTACTAGTAAAGTAAGTCAGTTTGGGAAACACATTCCACTGTCCTTTCTGTTTACTTTGAATTTGAAATGCTTCTGTAGTTGTTCCTGTCAGAAGTGATGCTAACAGTTCCTTTCTGTGGACTTCGTTTTGTTGAGGGTTGAATTTGCTGTATCTGTTTTGAAAGTAAAGTATGTGTTAATTTGCCTACAAAACTTCTGCTTATTTGGTAAAATAATTCACAAAAGTGTCTGGTTATCTTATTGTTGCTTATCCCTCAATTTACTCATTTGCTTTGCTACATAGACAACTTCCTTGGTCATTTCTCTCTTAAGTCTTCCAAAATATCCACTGCTACTCAAAGAAGAGCTCTTTCTTGTTGTCTCATAAGTGTGGCCTGTCTTTTACCAAATAGAGGCCAAAAAATGCTTCTTTTTAATATTTATTTTTGGAGGGGGGAGTGTTCAATAACTTCTTTAATGGAAGGTTTATAGGTTCATGGAATCACTAAGAGATAGTTGGCATTGGAGTAATCTTTTACTGTTCTATTTTGAACTCAAATCAAGCCAACAACTAAGCTTTGCATCAAGCAAGTAGAAGGTGTATTGGCAACTTGCATTATGAACCCCTGGTGTTACACCACCAAGTTATGGTATTTGTCAGATGTCTTGGTTTTCTATTATAGATCTCAGTAGAACAATATATTATAAATACATTACAACTTCATAAGAGAGCACTTTCAGGATCTGCCCTTTGGATTACTTTGAGACCCGATCCTATGGATTGCTTCCATAAGGCAATGAATTGTCTAGATTTTAGAACCGTTCTAGATTTTAATCAGTTACTTACTCTCAATGAGACACCATTGCGTCATGTAATAATCCCACTCGAAAACTCCTGTAATACATTATCCTTAGCTTTCGTGGTTTAGGCAAATGGCATGAAATGTCGGGCCTTCTTGGGTACCCATAAGATCTTAGGGGTGTCAGTAGAGACTATAAGGTCACATATGCAAGTATTTATTTTTACCATTTTTTCTTCTTATCATGGCTATGGTAACCACAACCATAAAATCTACCTAGAACTAAACCAATTTTAATGTTTGGCAAATGCATAAGATGAGCCTTCCACCTAAATTGAATTATAATTATAAACAAATAGACAATAAGGTTAACACGGTGGCTACACTGCCACTCCAAGCCTAACTTTTTTTGTTTTTGGTTCTATAATTTAATGTCTCTAAGGAGATACCCACATTTCATGAGAAACATTTGATGAAAAACACTTATTGGTTTTGTAGTATACGAAATATTGGATAGGAACTTCTCTCTAAGAGTATGCTTTTGTTTTGTTAAAATAGTGAACCTTTGGAATAATTTTTCCTTCTTGTGTTAAACATAATGAAACCATTCTTACTTTCCAACTAAGAATGTTGATGCAAGAGGATAAAGGATCATAAGATTTTGAGAAAGTAATAACAGATGCAAGGATTCTATTCTTTGCACCTAGAATATGAGCATCATGTCCTAGATAGCTCAAGGCATCAAAGTATTCTCATATGCAATGTGGACAAGAAATCTTCTTTAAGTGTTTCGTATTCCCATTCAACACAATATGACTAAAAAGTTGGAAGTAAGCACCCACAACAAGTTCCCGTTCCATAAGCCTTCCTCTGACATTTACAAAGCTTCAAAAAACATATGATGTGCCCATGATATTGGAAGCTTAAATGAGATTGCATTATATGTGGCAACAAAAAACATAATTCATTTGTTGTTCCCTCATTAGTCACAACGCCAAATGACATCTCCTAAGATGACACCGACTCCTAATTCCCGGACATATATAACTCATGCTATGCTGTTACAGCGGTCAAAAATACCAATTGCGGTCAATACTGTATTTGAAATAGCGGTTATCGCGGTGGTATAGCGGTTTATATAAACATTTAGAATTATTTACATAATATATTATATATATCATAAAATATAAATAACTCAACATATTATGTGTAATCAATATAAAAAGAAATTCGCTAATAGACTTACGGGGCGTTTGGTTTGCACAGATTCTAAAGGAATCTAATGGAAGGAATGTTGAATTCCATTAACCAAATTCCGTTCCCTCGTTTGGCTCATTCTTTTTCATCAAAGGAATCTTCAAAATCCTACAGATTCCACAAATAAATGAATTTAACATTCCTTAGCAACTACATGGTATTTTGATGGAATGGAATTCTCTATTTTCATAATACCAAATATGTCCTTAACCCAATATACCCTAACCTCATAAAACCCAACATGACCACCTTCGACCACCTTTGACCACCGTCGATCTAAATCACCGCCAACCACCACCGCCGACTACCACTGCTCTGAACCATCGTCAACCACCACCGATCTGAACCACTATTGATTTGAACCACTGCCGATCACTACCAATCTGAACCACCGTCGGCCACCGCCGATCTGAACCACCTCCGATTTGAACCACCGTCGATCTGAACTACCGTCGATCACCGCCATCTGAACTACCATGGACCACCACCGATTTGAACCACTGTCGACCATCGTCATTTAAATCACCATGGACCACCATCAATCTGAACCACGCCAACTACTACCGATCTGAATCACTGCCGGCCACCGCCGACCATCACCGATCTGAACAACCACCGACCATCACCAATCTGAACAACCGTCGATCTGATCCATTGCCGATCTAAACCACCCCCAATCTGAACCACCTTAAAAATCATAGGAGTTTTTTCTTTAAGAAAACTATCTATAAAAATAATTACATAGAATATCTTCAACCTTGTCAACTGATAGTGAAAGAACAAAATCGAGATACATATCAATACCTATTATAGGTAGAAAAATGGAGATCGAAACAAATAACTCGCACGGTCCAGAATAAAAAACAGAAGAGTTTGGAGTATTAAATAACTTGCATCCATAGAACATCTGGCGTGACATAGATAATGAATAAATAGGAGTTAATATCATTCCAATTGCCATTAACAAAGTGATGGCAATTTTGGGCATTAAAAGATATTTTTGGCTGGTAATTATTCCCAAAAAGACAATAACTTCTACAACAAAACCACGCCGATATGAACCACATTCGACCACCGCCACCAGAAGCACCACAGACCACCACCGATTTCAACCATTGCCGACCATCGACGACTACCATCGATCTAAATCACCGCCGGACACCGCCGACCACCAACGATTTGAACAACCACCGATCTAAACCACCGCCGCCACCCCCGATCTGAACCGCCGCTAACCACCTCCATCTGAACCACCGCGGACCACCATCGATCTGAACCACCGCCACCTGAACCACTGCGGACCACCACCGATCTGAACCACCGCCGACCACCGTTGATTTAGTAACGTCGTTTGGCTTATGGTTATATTTAGGTTGTGTATTTTATATTGTTTTACAGTTTAAATAATTATTTTATTAAAGTATTTTTAGTTTTAAAAAAAATAAAATTTTCAAAAAAGGGCATTTTGGTCATTTACCAATATTTCATTCCAATTCCAAAGCTACATTATGTGAACCAAACAGACAGATTCCAATTCCCTAACATATTCCATCCCAATGTGTGTCAACCAAACTGGTGGTCAAACCTGAGAACATTTCATTCCAATTCCTTCAAAGTCAAATTCCTTTAATAGATTCCATTCCATTTAAAAACATTTTGTGAACCAAACGCCACCTTAGAATGATGGTGGAAGGGTTTAGGAAATGCGGTTGAATGCTCGATGATGTTGAAACCTAATTTTTATACATCGTTGACCGTTAAAGATAATAGATGGATTAAATGATATAAATCATTAAAAAAAGTGCAAGTCCAAAATAAAAGCCCAAATCATTTAAATAGGTCTAATATAAGCCGATTGGACAAAAAAAGAGACCAACCACAAATAGTGGTTATGTGAACCGCTATTTTGTGTAAAAAGCGGCAATTTAGCTGTAAATCGCACTGCAATTCTTGGCACCACTATTTAGGACCGCAATTCCTTCCAGGACCGCGAACCACTATTGCACCGCTATTTCACTACTATTAATGGCATAGAACTCATGAACCTATATCTTTGTTCAAAATTATTAATAGCACTACTCTTCACCTTGGACACCTCTAGAAACCAAAATCACATTTTAATCATATCCGATAGAAATAAAACTAGTTTTAGTTGATTACAAGTTTGATGATCTTTATTACGGGGCTTGTGTATTACTGAAATTGGAATAAAGTAATACCAATATTTTCTTTTCTTCCTTGTAGGACGTTCTGAACTAATTGCTGTTTTTCATGATTGAAAATCTTAACATCAAATCAACTGTGGACACTTATCATATAAACATCACAAGCACTTTTGGTCTACCATTTGACAATAGATTTGACTTGAGTGAATCCCTAAACTAGGAATACCAACTTCTAATAGTCGCAACTCGCAAGTCAAGAAATTTTCATAATGTCATGAGAAGGGTATGCTACAATTGAATAAGACTATGTTGTTACATGTTTACTTTGACCTCGCAGGTCTTTAAGCCAGTCTCTTTGGGAAGTGGTTAACATAAGGATTTACCACAATTGTAAAAAATAATGACTCACTTGTGTATTAATGAAATGATAATTGTAGTAGCCTTTTCTCTGTGGTATCTCAATATTTAAAATAAGTAGGCAGTTCCACATGATTATGAGTTGTGTGAACACTAGTACATTAAGATGGAACTCTCATTAGCATGTGAGATAAGGTCACATGACATATTTTCAAGTTTCAGGAGCGCAACCACCTTAGGGCCACTGTGGGCCCAGATTCACCCTCACATTTTAGGGAAAAATCAGCTTTGTTTAGTAACTTATAGTTTTTGCAACATTTTTATAATATTATATTTCCTTTTAAATAGTTTTGTGTTTAAAGAACATTTCTTTCTTCTGATCTATTGGAACCCAGGACCGGAGTATGAAACATCTTACTATCTTGTTAATGTTTATTTATTTACTTAGTTGTTTGTGTTGTTTCTTTTGTTTATTAATTTTCTTCTTGTTGCTAATCAAGAGACAATTCTCTCTCATTTTGACAATTCTCTCTCATTTTACATTGAATATGTTTTTATAATATAGTTTTACATATTTTTTTTATAACGTTCTAGTTTTTGGCATTCTTTTTTTTTCTTAAAAATTGTAATTTTCACATTTCAGATTGAGTATGGTTCTATACTTTTAGTTAATCAATTAGTTTAACTTTAAACAGGTATAGATAATAAATTTAACAAAGAGAAAAACAATTATGGATTCGTTAGAGGAGACTAATGATGTTAGTTATAAACAAAGTTGTATGAAAACCAACTTAGATGATTTTCGTGCAAACCCTGGATTACGGATTAATATATATAAATATATATATGTTTATACAGATGTATATTTATCTATCTTATTTATGTATTTGAATAATAACATTTAAGAGGACCATCGTGAACCCAAATTTTGGCTCCTTCTCTGTCAAAGGTTCCATTCTATTCTATGTTAATGCTACTAGACATAACCAGAGGTAGGTTTTGTAGATAACTGCCAAAAGTCATATAAGATCGTGTGTTGGCTTACCCTTATGCTTTAGCATCTCACCTTAGGACATGAGCAGAGGCTCCATTTAAGACAGATAAATTTTGGATGAATGAAATGCTTTTCTGATCTATTGCCACATAAGTTACTGTTAAAAAATTATTTGTCCTTTGGTCTTTAAGTTTGGGTCATCAATTTTTTTTATTATTATTGATTTATGAAGTAGCAGTATGGACTTAATATATCTTCATATGGCAGTATGATTTAGTGCATGTTGCAGCTGGAGATTTACTAAGAGCAGAAGTTGCAGCAGGGTCTGAAAATGGGAAGCAGGCAAAGGAATATATGGAGAAAGGGCAGTTGGTTCCGGACGAGATAGTTGTTATGGTAGGGTTTTTGAAATCTTTGCGACTTTTTGTAGATCTTTTAACTAGTGATTTCTTCCATGGATATAGATGGTGAAGGATCGTTTATCGCAACAAGATTCCAATGAAAAGGGTTGGCTTTTGGATGGATACCCAAGAAGCTCATCTCAAGCAACAGCACTTCAAGCCTTCGGTTTCCGACCAGACCTTTTTATTCTTCTTGAAGTGAGATGGGTGTTGTTGCTCCATTATTTGAATAATTACTTGTACATTATGCAGTCGATTAGCATTAATGTTATTTACACAAAGAACACGCTGCATGTGATGCACCTTTAATGATACATCATTATCAAGTTATGTTGTTTTATGTTTGCACGTGATCTCTTTTGGATCTAGGTATATTTACCCCTTATCTACTCAACCCATTTTTTTGTTGTTAACAGGTTCCGGAGGAAATTCTTGTTGATAGGGTAGTTGGTCGTAGGTTGGATCCTGTTACTGGTAGAATCTACCACTTAACATATTCGCCCCCTGAAACTGAAGAAATTGCTGCAAGGCTAACCCAGCGTTTTGATGATACAGAAGAAAGAGTACGTTCTTAATGTTCAGTTCATTTTAGTCATCTGGGAACCCATCCATTAACCTTGTTCTTGGTTCTTAATCATTCTATTAGTTTTATGGATGACTTTTCTAGAAATAGCATGGTTTATTATATGAAATTTAAAAGTGAAACTTTTACTATTTCTTTTTGACTTTCTATGTGTGTCATAACTCAAGTTGATGTGCCGATGAGAACTTGGCATAGTGATAACGGTAATCAGTACTTAACTCATGATTTTAGCAAATTCATGTTTGGAAAATTGGATTTTACACAAGTCATCTTCTGTCTTGTACGCCTAAGCAGAATAGTTTGACAAAACGAACACCGTGTCATATGTTTGTGTTAAGAACCAGTTTTACTGATCAATTAAAATAAAACAATGTAGAAGAAACAATAGCTGAATGCTTGATTAACAAGAAAAAGATAGGTAATTAGCTATTCTAGAGGCTAGACTCTCCCAAGGACAAAGTCAATATTATCTGCATACCCTACTCTCCCCTCTATCCCCTATATAATAACAGCCCCAATAACGCTAATGGGCTTGGGTCGGTGCCTAACATTACCCCGCCTCCTAACACCTTGTCCTCAAGGTGGATAGAAAAAATAAAGGAAGAAAAGATGCCATGTTACATCTCCCTCAACAACTATCACAATAAAACCTAGTTGGAAGTAACCACGAGTGTTAGGCACGGTTGATGTTGAATGTATTCTTCCAGAAACTCATAGGAAATGCGTCAAAATTTTGGAGCACATCTCAGATCTTCATAATAGCGATTGCGCTAGCCATTTCTCCCCTCAATCGAACCAACTCCTCATGTGCAATCTTCGTTTTCCAGATGTCCATCCTCTCACCCTCCGTGTACTTACTCACTGAATCTCCATCCTTGTAACTCCTCTTAAAATCGTTGCGTTGAAGATAGAACGATTGATCTCTGACCTTGTAACTCCTCCAAGACTCGTTGTCTTTCAGATCGAAGGATTGGTCCTGGAAACAGAAAGATTCTGGTGAGATGTTGGTCTCAAAAGAGATCGATATCGATATATGGACGCAATTTGTTTTCTGTTTCCTTGGACCCTTTCATGGACCATTTGTGGGTTAGGCCGAACCAAAACCCACTTTGTTTGTTCTGTTCTTGCAATGTTGTGCAATGAATCTGTCTGGTTTACCCCAAGCCTCTCTGTCGAACTAGGGATTGTCAACGAATTTCTAAGGAAACCAACCAGAGGCAGTGAGAAATCCCATCTGACGGTTTGGCCCGAGGCGGAACCCTAATTTTCCGGACTCTTAATGATCGGCGGAAACTATCTTTATCGTTTGGTAGCCTCCAACGTTGACCAAGTAATTTGGAGACTCTTTTCCTTCCTTAATTGCTATGTTCTCTTCGATCAGCAGTGTTTTCTCCCCATTCTCTCTTTCCTTCTTATTTTCTTCTAATTCACTAATTATCGCTGTCGTTATCACGGGACTGTAAAGGTTGAGATCAGAGGTGATTCCTTCTTCACGAATATTCTGTGTCTCCTCCGTCTGTTTCTGATTGAGAATCCGATTTTGCAAATTGTCATAATAGATCTCGGAGTTGTTGCTGAAGATCTGAAACAATGGATTGGATTTCAAGCACCTCCATCTTTATGGATTCAATCATCTGTGGATTCATACCACTGGACATAGCTTCCAACACACAATATGAGGACCACTGCGATTCTGTGGCCATGGATTCTAATGACTTTGATACCAATTGATAAGAACCAGTTCTACTAAACAATTAAAATAAAACAATGTAGAAGAACCAGTAGCCAAATGCTTGATTAACATGGAAAGGATAGGTAACTAGCTAGAGGCTAGACTTTCCCAAGGACAAACTCAATATTTTTCTGCTTACCCTACTCTCCCCTCTATGCCCTATTTAATAACAACCCTAAATGTGCTGGGCTTGGGGTCGGTGCCTAACAGTTTGATGTTGCTTGAAGCCATGAGTTTTGAGTTTCAGAATCAAATGAGAGGCCCACCTTAGTTTTGAGCAGCAAAATCCATTTGTTTGTCTTATACCCATCAAACCGTGTTTCCAATGCCACCAAAGATACTTGGTTGTACATGTTATGTTCATGACATGAAGATTAAGACATGCTTCCTCATGTCATGACCATGTATGTATGCATATATGTGTGTGTGTTATAGCCTTACTTTAAGGCAATATGTTGTCATTGTTGATTTCAGCTTTGTCAAGTCAAGTTAGTCATTCATCTAGTCGTCCTTAATGGTGTCTAACAACTTTCCAAGTTATATGGAAATCATTCCTAATAAGGATATTTGCTAGTTTCCAGACAGTATTGTGCCACAGGAAGTATATTTTTGATTTGTTGTGTAAGTGTGGGTTACTTGGATGCAAGCTAGTTCACTCTCCTATGGTTCAAAATGAATATTGCATGAGAATAGGTTGTCTTTGAAGGATTTAGAGAAATATAGACGAATCATAGGAAAACTCAATTACCTAGCTAATCTATGATGAAATATTTGTATTTTTTGAGTATAGTCTAGTATGCCTATTTACTAATGTTTGTCCTTACATTGGTTGCTGAGTTGTGGATCTTGTGATATTCAAGGCTTCTCAAGGGAGGTATTTTGTATCATTATCAAGGTTTATGCCTTCGTTGAGGAGGGATCTAGGACGATGGCATAGTTCTCATATGCATATTCGGCTGTCCTCAATCTGCCATGGGTTTAACTCATATTTGTTGGTATCTGTAATCCAATTTATGTCCCTTGGAGACTCATGGTTAGGGTGATGGGTCATTGTATTGGTATTGCACCTATGCCAAGCCTCTTTCTCTATAAATACCTGGACCTTAAAATTTTCTTCCTCATGGCCCATGCTTTAAACCCTTCTCCCTTTTGCGTCTATCAGAGTACAATTGGTTGCTGCACTTGCTGCACTGGAGGCTTGTACTTGCTACATATTTGAGTTGTACGTAACTCTGTATGTATACAGATGTGTATATATATAATTTTTTATATAAGATGCACTTCACATTGCTGAGGCCCATGCTTCATGCCTGCACCTCGCGCCTAGGCCTCAGGACCCCTTTCCGCCTAAGTGCGCTTTGAGCCTTTAACAACTTTGCCGATGTGTAAAAGACCACTTCCATTTCATTCATGAAACTCTATTTTATAGTAGCTATGTGAAGAAGATACACCTTATATATTCTTTCATATGAACATATTATAATGGAATCCGTCTTAGATCTCACTCCAGCTTGTCGTACACATGCATATATGAGCTCATAAATTCGTAGCAAGAAGAATGGTTTGGACATGTTAAAAAACGGAAATAATACTAAAAGTAGATGAAGGTATTAGGTTCTTTCAAATAAAATATGATGTTTCTTGTTGACAACATGTAGACATCAAGCCATATTCTCATGAACCTGTGTAGAAGTATTTCATTATTGGCATCTTTAGGCATTTCGGAGGACGTGTCTTTTGGTAGGAGTTCTTGGAGGCATATGACTAGAGTGGCATGTTAATAATGGGATGTGGTTGAGGGTGTTGACAAGGGTTTTGACCAAGGGCTGGAGAGTAGATAAATAAGTTCCTTGTGTGGGATGGATGGGCCGACTTGACTCGACTTCCTTGCTTGATTTTCTTAGTGGTCATACGTACATGTTTTAAGTTGCCATGCATACACAACTGTTTTCTTGATTACATGGTATATTACCTATTGGATTACTTGTTTGAAGACACCTTGCGTTGTGCACAAGCCGGACGTCTTCATGGAAACAACCTCTTGATCCTAGTGGTTGAGATAAGATCTTAGTGCATCCTACCCCTCCCAAACACTAGTTTCGAGTGGGATTTATTGGTTCGTTTGGTTTGGCTTGGTTTTAGTATTAGGCCTCAACGTGACTTAAAAGATGTGATATCTACAATAAGTTGCACCCTTTATTGGAACTTATGACTTTGTTCATTGCATTTATGAGGTGATTGCTCTGTTATATGGGTCCACATTTAGCTGTTGTATTACTTCTTTTGTTGAAATTGTTACTCTTTTAATCATTTAGACTTAAACAAGTGCTTGGATGTTGGTGTATCAAATTCCAATTTCAATTCATCCTTCCAGTCTGATACTAATCTTTCATCCTATATTTCCATTCTTAATGAAGAAATTTGATATAATATTTCCACATTTCGAGTAACACATCGGTAAGTAGTCAAGTTGTATAACTTCATTTTAAGAACATATCTACTTAGAGTCCTTGATCAATGTGAAAGGATAGGAATATTGATGGGAATAATTTCTCTTATCAAACTATTTGTAGGCAAGCAAAGAGGTGTTTTTTCTTAACGTGCGGTTTCCATGATCAAAATCTTTGCTGATAACCTTATCATACAAGGGATTGAATTACAAAAACATATTTTAAGTAGCATCATATGAAGAAATGTTTAGAACCTTGAAAATGGAATTATACTTGCATTCTTTCTCTTGTTTGCTTGGTTTTTAGTTCTTCTACTTTACTTTGTCGTAGTTTATGTTTGCATTTTGAGAAGCAACCAATTAATTGTGTTTTCTTCCATGATGATTAGGTAAAGCTTCGGTTGGAAACACACAACCAAAATGTAGAATCAGTCCTTTCGTTGTTTGAAGAGATCACAGTCAAGGTATGCAACACTATTGAGCTTTCCTGGAATTCAACCATGGTTGATTGATTAATGTTATCAGGACAGTCAATTGCGGCGCTATAACGGTGGACAAATAGCGGTACCGCGAATAGCGGCGTTATTTATTGCTATATAACTGAAATTGAACCCAAAATAGCGGTTGGGATCATCGTTGTTTTTTGTGTTGGTTGTTTTCTTATTAAGCGGTTTTTTTGAGAATTTGTGTTAACAACAATTAGGTTACCAATTCTATTACTAGGTTTCCAGTTCTGCAATCCACTTGTTTGGTTCAAACACACCAACAATTCAGTTGTCGATGTGCTTCCATGTGCTCAACCTTGTTTTTTCATCGAATCCTCTTCACGACTTTGTGCTGGTGTTCCATTAGTCAAGTACCTAAGTTCTTTATTAAATCATCTTCTCTGTCTCCATTCTATTGGATTTTTTTAGTTAATGGTTGGACGTAGACACCACTTTGTTGACACCACTTTGTTTCCATTTTACTGTTGTTCTTTGTTAAGTTATTTATATATATAAATATTACTATTATTTATATATACCTATTTTTACCGCTTTACCAATGCAAAAACCCATGATTTCAAATCATGGTCTTGACTACGATTTCCGCAAATGACCGAATTAATTGCTTAGAATGTTAATATGTTCTATTATTTACTTATTTTCTTTTATAGATTATCCATCCTTTAGTACATGGTTTACTCTTGAGTGCAAACATTTGTTAGCCTAGTTTATACTTTCAGGAGCAAATGTTTTACTTCATCTTGTGTCATTGGAACTTAAATGAGGACAAACATTTCTTATGAGTGCATCGAACTTCAATTTTTGTTCAATTATGAAAAATCGTTTTAATGTGACCACCACAAAATACAAGTTGGGAAACCAAACCAAACCAAACCAAATGAGTATAACCCACGCGGAGGTGGGGTCTGGGGTAATATGGAAAACATCGTGTTTAGTTATCATTGAAATATCATTCTCTATCTAGAAGATTAGAATCTATATTATCCTCTATTCAAATCCTCATGCAATCTCATGCCTTGGTCAAGGCAAATGCTAGATTTAGGTTATGTTAGAACGCAGAGTTAATGATTTGCCTGAATCAACTCCTATGCATTACCAGATGATGATCTATCTTGATGTGGCTCACATGCTCATGGAAAATCTCATTCATTCCTCTTGAACAGAAAGACATCGACCTACCTGAACCAAACAAAACAAACCCAGTAAATCTAGGGCATAAGGAGGGTTGGAGTCCTTACCTCCACCTAGAGGAGTAGAGGCTGCTTTACTCAAGACCTCCAACCTCATATTATTGAATTAGCCGAAGTATTTTGTAATTTGAGGATAAGTCTTTTTAAATGGTTGGTAATTAAGGGCATGGGATTTGTTCTTCTATCCTACCAAGTTAGTTACTGTTATTTATACCCTAAGGGTTAGCAAGTCCTTTTAGTAAGCCGGGTAAACAAGGTACAAGTAGGTAATGCTGGGGTTTAGTATAAATAGAAGGGATGAGAAACGTGCAAGGCATTCTTTTTGTTAAGATTTTATGGGCGTGAGTCCTGTGGAGACATTCTGGCCTCTCGAAAGCCAGAAAACCCCTTTGTAAGCATTTGATTAGTGAGAAGCAGTTTTTTTTAATTCAATTTCTTTGATTTTCCCCGTGTACATAAAATTGGTATCAGAATGAGAACGAACCTGTAGATGACTAGAACTTTTGTTCTGCGTGGAAAGCAAATTGGAGGGTACCATCATGAGTTCTGTCCGGAAGGGTGTGAAATGTGAAATCATTGATGGAAGATTTCAAATCGTTAAGAAAGGATGTGGAGACCGTGTAGAAGATAATGGACAGGCTAATCAAGTTTTATGATGCGACGGTAAAGAAAAAGACGGCCAAATCATAGGTAGAAGAAGATCCAAAGAGATTCCAGACTGTTCATGTTAACAACGAAGAGATGAGGAGAGAAAATATAGAGGGAGGGAAGGAGAGAACAAACAAAAGAAAGATCCAGACATGTTATTCGATGGTCATTCTAAGCTACTACCGCAACGCTCACCATCAGCACCACCATCATCTTCGTTGTCTCCACCGCCATCAACACTACTGTCACTGTTGCATCCGCCATCATTGTCACCGTCACCGCTGCCTTCACCATCATATAAGCCGGGATCAATGGTGCTTCCACCAACGAGGGTAACCAAGTCTAGAAACAAGATATTGATTGTTGGAAATTTTATCTGGCCCAAAACCATTTTAGGGATTACTTTTTGGCCTGAGCCCGTGGACTTAAATTGGTCCATCAATTCCATCTCTATGACAATGAGAAATCGATTTTGGTTGGACGATCTTCATTGGAAATTGCCGTTGCCGTTGCTACCATGCCTTTCACCATCTCCGCTGCCGTTACCACCCCATCGTTTCCATCATTGCCACCACTACGGGTGGTGACTTGATTGTTATCCCTTATCACTTGGGATCTTGGCGAAATTGATGTCGAGTTACGAGGTGTTCAATTATGATAATGGGAAACTAAAGGGATGGGGAGTCTTGGTGCGTTCTTACTATCTTACAGAATGGGGTGTAACCTCGTGTAAGATTGCATATGCTTTGGAGAAAACAAACTACCAAGGTTATGACTTATATTGGAAGAAATCTGAAGAGAAGTATCATTTTTTACGTCAAAATACCGTGATCTTCTAGCCATGCACAACGTGGATTTTATCATCACCAACACGCACCAAGAGATTGCAAAAGAAGAGTACTATTGCACAAAATGAGAATCACTCATCTTTCAAGCTTGGGAGCCTATCTCATAATTTCATTTAAGCATTCTTTTGTACATGGATTCACCAATATGTACCTTGTCGTAAATGGTCTTAAAAAAAGGGCGTTGAGGGTGACTTGGATGCCTGAACGGCTGCCACAAGGGGTGCTAATGATTATAGAGGCGGTTCAGTTGCAATGATTGCTACAAAATGTTTTATAGCTCGTACCAGCCTCACAATTAACTATCTAGTGGGTATTTCTAGTCGGCGTTTTCGTGGCATACCATGTGTAGTTAACTACTTTTTCTATGTTGATGAAAACATACGGAGCATGCAAGTTCAATAGGGGTATGAAGAGCTTGATGACACTTATTGGAGGCAGAAAGCTATTAAGCTAGCGAGATATCTCATTAGTAAAAACTCTGCATCTCGATCTTAGTCATATTTCTTCTAATGTTGTGTTCCCAAGACAGAGCAACAATACTTTTCGGAAGCAGGGCACGAAGTACTCTGTTTTTGGTTTCAGTTTACTTCTTTTCATAGAGGTATCTAATGCAATTGCCAATGAAGAAGGGGTGAATAAAATGGTCGATATTTACAATATATGTTGTGTTACTGGTGACCGTTTAGTGGGTGTTGCTATAAAGAAGTATGGAAATACTCGTACAAAGCTGAACATAGCAAAAGGAAGGGAGCGTGGGACAATCTAGTATCCTTACACCGGGAATGGACTCAAGAATTGAAGGAGAAGTTAATGCCTATGAGGGAAAGGGTATGGTTGGATGTGATGGCTATAAAAGGGCAAGGCGTAGCGGAGAAGAACAATGATGTGGGTGCAAAACCACGAATTCGGTGTTGGATTGAAAAGAAGGGTGATGATGGTCTATCGTTGTGTCTAGTATACCACCCACAACAACAAACAAAACGGTTAGATTCTTTTCTTTCCAAGTGGCAAGTTATGACAGTTTGGTTAAGAATAGATTTGGACAGGAGCATTTGGATGAGTTTATAGATTGGTAGATCGCGGTTGGCGAACTTACTTGAGCTCTTTTGATTTTGGCTCCGGCAACAAGACAGAGTTACAAAGTGGATAAGACAGGTGGGGGTTAGTGATCTCAGAGGTTGGTGTAGAAATGGAGGTGGCACGAAGCTTAATTGGAAAGGTTTATCTCTTGTTGCAGCCGGTTGAAGAGATGTAACATGGCAACATCATTTTCTTTATTATTACTTTCTCTTTCCACCTTGAGGGCAAGGTGAGAATTTTGGGGGAGGGTATTGTTATACCCCGAGGGTTAGCAAGTCTTTTTAGTAAGTTAGGTTAACATGGTACAAGTAGGTAATGTTGGGATTTAGTATAAATAGGAGGGATGAGCAATGGAATTTATACGAGCGGGGCACCATGTAGAATAAAAATAAAAGTTGACATTCTGAAAATGGCAAAAGCATCGATATTATATTGATGATATTCGACCTTAACGAGTTTTCATTAGTAGGAACTTATCTATGATATCTTTATTATCAATCTCGGTAAAAAGATCTTTTTCAATATAAGCAACCAAGCAATCATTCATCCATTGATCTCCCATTCTATTGAGCAAACTATTCTTCACGATGTTCGTAGCTGAAAACGTCTTCTCAACGGTCATAAGCAAATACATGAGAGTGACCACTTCATCCCTTTTTGTTTCAACCATTTTCTAGTGCAAGATCATTGATCCCTTTTAAGTTATAAAACTTTTCCATAGTCTGCATATCAACAATATAAGTCTCTAGTTGATCAAGCATCAAAAGTTCCACTTAAGAGAAATCATCCGGATATAAATGAGCAAGATGAATCATTTTGCTCTTGTCAAGAAGCTGAAAAGGAGTCGCTTGGATTTAGGCATGCCATGGAAATAAGCAACTCAATGCTAGTTTCAGAAAACAGATTCTCCAATTCCATAAGTGACAGCGGAAAATAATTCAACACGATAGTAGTGCAAGTTTGTCATTTGTGGAGCTTTTTGGCGTGAAGTAAGAACATTTCATCCATGTTACAGACATCAATATCATGTTTCTCATAAACCAAGGTAACTTGATTGAGTAGAGAATCCCAATAGTCATTTTCAACCCTCATTTTCTATAGTTGATGCTTGCGAACTCCAACCAATTTGATTGCATTTACAATATCTTGTTCTTTCTTTTGCAATGCTTGGGATAATTCGTTGGTGATCCCTGTCATCATTTTTCATAAAGTGTAGGCAAAACACAAAATGAAATGAGTGCAAGGAATTAGAAAGCAAATGAGCTTTGAACTTTTGTTCATGGGTTAGTGTATCTTCTTTATCATCTAAAGCACATCTATTACAGATGGAAACAATGCAATGATACTGACCGAAGTACGTGCAATGTGAACCCCGTGTATCACGTGCTCTAATGAGAGAAGTTTCTTGATTGAGGCCTCGACCTTCACCAGAATTAAGTTCTTCAAAAACTTTGGTTGTTTGTTGTTCTAGAAGTAGATCATGGCGTTTACAAGAACCTCCGACAACATTCACAACATTGTTTACTAAGAAAAAGAAATCAACGATCTTTGTGTGCTTTTTTGCCGCAGCTACAAGAGTAAGTTGAAGTGGATGAACAAAACAATGAACATGCGCACTTCTATTTTCGTTCAGAATTAGTGTCTTGATCGCACCATTCTCGCCTTGCATCATACTTGCCCCATCATAAGCTTGCCCACACAATTTAGTGATGCTTAATCCATGTCGTGGGAACAATCATAACATTGCCCACGCAATTTAGAGATGCTTGATCCATGTCGTGAAAACAATTTATCAAGTGTCGCTTTAAGTGAGATAGATGTAGTGTTTGGAACATGCTCGATGCTTAAAAAGTGCTCAATTCTACATCCTCTCATATCCGCATAGCGCAACACAACGCTTCTTTGTTCTTTGGTTGAAACCTCACGAAATCCATCGAGCACCGCAAAAAATCATCACCAAGATCACATAGAATAAGTTATGTTGTTTATGTTGCAACAACATTAACAATGTCCTCTTGGATATCCAGTGAAGTTAACTTTAAATTCTCAGTCGCATTATTAAGAGTAACTGCGATAGCTCAAGGAAGTTGCCTCTATTATTTTGAATCTTTACATTCACCATGACCTCGGAAAGAAAAACCTTGTCCCAAGAGAAACCGAATGCAGTCTATCGATGCGATCAAACGTAACTTATAAACCCTCTTAGCTTGGTCTGAATGATTGATGATAAGAGATCTAATATGTTGCTTTTTTGTTCAACAAAGTTCAACAACGCCTCCAATAAGAATTGTTAGTTTTTCTTTCTTTGCCAATTTGCAAGTTTTAAGCCTACAAAAGTCTAGCCTGCTTGATCTGCAACACTTGGTTTGAAAAGATAGCAACATAAACAAGAAGCTGCATCTTTGCTGACACTATACTCGAGCCAAGTAGAAAATTCATCAAACCAAGAAGGGTTGAATCTTGGTGATCTTTTCCTAAAGGCAGTGCAAGGAAAATCATGGCTTTTGAGGTTGGTAAAGCCCTTTCAATAGATATGCTCTGGGAACTTCATCACGAATATTAGGATTGTGATACAATTTTCTATTCCGCAATCCAGGGTCAGTCAGAAGATTTGGTAAATTGATTTCCACATGACTTAGTTTACAACTATCAGCATTGTTCTTATTTGGCGTAGATGACGAATCAGCGGTTATTTTTCTCTTTATTAAATTTTCATCCATGACTGTTAAAAATTAAACTAATCAATAAATCAAACAAATGTAGATGGAATTAAGTCAGGTGAAGAGCATCAAGCTTCCCAAAACCTGAAATGGAACCCAAAATTGATGTCTTGTTGGAGGGTGTAAACAGGGGAGGAGAGATCAGGAGGGAATTCCAGGCTTCCAAGTTCCAGCAGGCAGCAGTGGTGGTTCTTACTTAGTGTGGAAAGGGACTGGGCTTGGCGCTGGCGGTCCGTCAAACACAGTCACACTCACATAGAGGTGTGTCCCCGGTGGAAAAGGGGAGAGGTGAGGTGAGCCCTCGTTCTTCCAGCAGAGCATCTAGTGTCATGTTTTGTCTTTGTGAAAACGTAGTCAATAGGAGAGGCGGGAGAATGGAAATCGAGTAGAGATGCAGACCTCTTAAGTTATTGGGGGAGGAGCGATGGTGCTGAAATAACCCTTGCCATACTCCCAGGAAAAGCTCGAACGACCTTCAACAAAACCGAAACCGACACAGGTGGGTAGGTAGAGAATACCTAGGGACGACCCATTACAAGATAAATTTTGGGTCTATTTATTAATACATCAAAAAAAAGGTGAGGGGGTGCCAATGCACCTTCTGGTGCTAAGGTGGCTCCACCCTAGGGATGAGGAACGTGTAGGGCATTCTGTTCTGAAAACACTTTTTGGGGTGAGTCATGTGGAGAGATGTTGGTCTCTCGAAAGCCAGAAACCCCTTTGTAAGCATTTGATTAGTGACAAAACATGTGGTTTCCTCTGAATTCAATGTCTTTGATTTTCCCGGTGTACATCAGTTACTTACCAAAAAATATGTTAAAAATAAAGAGACCTCCAAAGCAACCACTTCAATGTAGATCGGTCTGTTGTTATTTTCCTATATATAACAGTGTAACTTGGCTTTAACAGGTTTGTTCATGTTGTCTGTTCTCACACTCTTGGTTCTTTTTTTCCTTCCTATATCTCATGGGCTCTACAAGTCAGAGGTCTTTATAGATACAATCTCTCTACCCCAAGGGTTGTAGGTATGGTCTGTGTACATCTCACCCTTGCTGTACCCTATTTCCGAGTGGGATTTTCTGGGTACGCTTGGTTTGGTTTGATTAAATTGTTATATAATCGTTGAAACTCTATATGCAAATGTTAAATTTAAGAACACTATTAAATCAACGTTTGTGTGTTTCAGGTCGATGGAAGTCTTCCAAAGGAGGATGTATTCGCAAAGATTGATAGTGCGCTAGCAAATCTTATTGAGCAAAAGAACACTACTATGTTAGCTACATAATGAAAAATGAGCGAAATATATATGAATAACAGCTAGGTAAAACATTCATGTGGTGTTTGATTATTTGCCTGCTGCATTAGAATGTGCATAGATTGTATTTGTGAGAACAAGATTGCCATTTTGACATCTCATTCATGTGTAATTCATTCTCATATTATTTACATTGCATAAACATTCCTCATCATGATAAAGTTGTATTTGAGATACATTAGTTGATTAATATTTTTTAAGAAAAAAGCTAAATGCATAAAAAATGTAATGAAGTTTGTCTTAGTTCCTATTTGGTGTATTGATGATTTTCTTTCTCACTTGGTGTAATAAACGTTTGATTTTTCCTATTTTGTACTGGATTTCACCCATTGGTAGATCTTGTAACTATTGATAATGTGGGAGACTAAGTTGTCAGGTTTAAATTGTAATTTTTGATTACATGGAAAATGTGATAAAATTCATCGATGCCATGTAGCCTGAAAACTTGTTTATCTGGTAAAATTTGAACGCAATAGGAAGAATTGTACGACTGTTTTGATGCATTTTGCCCTTAAAGAAAACTGTGCTTCCGCATTCAGAATGTTTGTAGGCATGGTTTTCAGAAGCGGTTGAGGCATATGTTTTAAGGCGAGGCGGCCCAAAACTGCACTTGAGGTGTCGCCTCTCATTGTATGGCTGATTCATATGCCTTGCATGTGTGAGGCGTTAGGTGAAGCAGCAAGGCGGTGAGTCTATAGAGAGACTTGCTCTGTTATGTGGGTGTGCCTTTCTGTTATGGGTGTCATCAATGTGGTATGAACAGTATGACTCGAGGATTATGAAGGCAAATAGAAAGAAAATCCTGAACTTGGTGACTTGTTGCTTATGATTTGCTCTTCCCAGGAGGTGCAGTATTCATCTCACAATATCTATTGGATTGTCATGTTACTTAAATTTGTCGATATACTAAATTACCATGTCTTTCTATCATTTTTTCATGATTACAACTGGCAGTGTCACAAAATTTGACAACCCTGAAAACATTGTATCAGTTTGTTTATCTTGTTGACCAACTACATTTCCTGATTTGTACAATCCTCATTCTTTAGTAAAGGAGCCACAAGTGCCTGGTCCGAAACATGGGAACCCCTCGACCGTTCAACCAACTTTGCCAAATGATAAGTCCAAAGGGTGTATGGACTCTAGTTTTGTGATGTCTCTGGAAGAAGAGAAAGGGACCAAAGTTATCATGAACACAAAAGCTCTCTCAAGGAAACTTTGGGTTATGAGTTTAACCAAACAAGTTTTCTAATATTGGGAGTTTAAGGGTCAACAGAAAGTGCAGCATGGTATAGAGGAATGAAGGCTAGTACCATAAATCAAGTGTATTTAGAGGGTGATCATTTCGGAATTCCAGTTTTTTTCTCGATGTTCAAGTAAGCTCCCGCTTTCTTCACTTTATAAATCTGTTATAGTTGTTGAAAAAGCCAAGTTGTCAGGGCTTGTTGATATGTTGAGCAAAATATGTAATGTGTTGAAGTGGCAGTACTACTATTTTCTAACACATGACACACAGACACACACACACGCACATATATATATAATATAAATATCAACCAGTTATAGAGCATATTGGATACAAACTCAATGCTTAGGAGAGGTTGTAATACATTGGATAGTAATCACACATGTAAAAGTTTTATGTGGTATGTGCATTGACTTTTAGAGTGTTCAAGTTATTTGGCCATTGGAGTTAATTTGCTTAATTCAAATGTGCAGGTTTTTTATGATATATATAATTGACATGCTGGCTTGTAAAATGTCTTAGAAGGTCTATTAATTTATTTTTAAAGCCTTCCAACCACAAAAAACTAACAAAACTTTTAGTTTGAATGGGAAATGTTGGTCAAACTGGAATCTATCAATGGAAAGGAAGTGCAGTAGAAAAAGGTCGAGTGATCAAACTGTAGGTGGGTCCTAATAAAATAATATGAATATGGATATTACGATTGAAGCCTCTTAACCATAAAATATGATGGTTTAACGCTTTCTCTCACAAGTTATTCCTTAACAAAAATAGGATTTAAGATTTCATCTTCTGTTGCCTTCTTTTGATACAGTTCTCAGACATTGTTGTCATCAGCATCTAAGCAACAAGTAGGTTCACTTTCTATTTACCTTATCAGTCGACGCTGTGAGGTTCACTTTCTATTTACCATATTAGTTGACACTGTGAGCCCAGCCCAACGATCCCTAGTAATAGGGTTCTTCCTCCAATAGTTGATACTTCAGGGGGTTTTATATCTATGATATATCTTCTCTATAAAGGACCAGAAATACCTTGTTTACGTATCATTGCATCTTTGAAATCAAAGAATATTGAAAAAAGAAGTGTTAAATCTTTCATGGTTGTCCTACAAGTGAATAGATAGTTAGATGCTTGTCTTTCAAATTGTTTTTTTTTATCACAGTTCTATAGCTCTCTCAGGAGCCTTTCCAATTATGACGATTTTACTTCTACTTAGTGGTTGTGAAGTTTCTATTTTTAAATGATAAGGAGAGGAGTGATGACATTTCTTGTGGTATTATTTTACCTTACCCTGATTCATTACAAAGGTTTGCATCTTTTTTCCCTTTTCTTTTCTTTTAGTTGGGTTTTTCTTGGGGAGGGATATCTCACTGTAGTCTCTTCCTTCAGAACTTCTTTCTTTTTTGGCATAAAGGAATTAGATAAGTCTGAAAGTTCTTGGATTCCTCTGAGTGTGAGCAATGGTTTGGAGTGTCAATTTGCTTTCCAGTAGTCTGAAGGGTACAGGGGGTTGCTATGGTATTAAACTTAGAACGGCTACTGGCTACATAAAAAAACACAAAATGAACTCTCTCTCTCTCTCTCTCTATATATATATATATATGTGTGTGTGTGTGTGTGTGTGTGTGTGTGTGTGTGTGTGCGTGTGAATAAGTGGACTGATTTCAGTGCATAAGCAATAATGCGATGGAAAACATTTGAATATAATTACAGGTCTAAATTTGTTGGCTGGAGTTTGGATTGGAGCCAAAATTCCTTAAGTTTTGAAGTACATCAGTAGTTAGTATAATTATCCACATATTTGAGGGTTGTTTTGTAATACTAAACGTGTAGGTTACCTTCAGAGATTATATTTTGGGTTTGATAGACTGGTGCACACAGAGATAGTGCAGTCATGATTATCATTTAGTCAATAGAAAGATGGGAGTCTGCAATTTGAGAAAGTATGAAGGGGATAGTAACACCTAAATTTCTTCCATCATCTCTTAAGGAATCAAGATCAGAGTCTACATTTAGGTTTTTATTATTTCGTTTGTGGTCTGTCGTCATTGGTGCTTTTGTATTTGATGTACGATCACATGCATGTTTTATAGGTTCATACATCTCAATAATATTGCACTTTTTTAGGAGTTCTGAGATTGGTAAGACTTTAACTTTTGCCTCTAATTCAACACTGGTGATATAAGTATATAAACCAATCTTGGTTTGCTAGCTGTAAAGGCTATGTAAATTTCTGCGAGACAAAGGGACGCTAGCATGAATTCTGTTTCTTATTGTGATAGGTGAAGTCCCTGTCTACGACCAATGAAGGCTTATGGTTTATTAGAAAGTTTCAAGTCAAATTTGTTCCCCAAAAATGATTTAGAACATGATTATGAATTCAAAGTGTAATCAATAACCCAGAAATACCAACAGTTTGTTATGCCTAGTCATGTGAATCAATAACCCAGAAAGACCATGAGTGCAGGGGTATGATGCACTTGAGTCAAGAAGAACAACCTTAAGGATGTAGGCGAGTTAGCATTAGTGAAAGCTAGCAGTCAATTAGGTAGTGGTTGAGAACCAGGTCGGGGATCTCTGCTTGATACTCATTTTCCAGCTGTCTGTGATCTGCTTTCGTGACTTGTCTTACAAAACTATTAGTATTGAGTATGGAAATGTAGCTAATGGTCAGAATAAAATGTTGAGGATGTCCTCCAATTTGTCATTAAATCATGCTTATCTTGATGCTCTTGTTCTACTGCATGATCAACACTGGTTGGAATTACACTCTGCAACTCATTGAAAACGTCTTGAACCTGAAAGTATTCCTTTAGGTGTATAGGAAAGACTCTGTGAAACCGGATAGCTATCTATAGGAGGCCTTAACAGTGGGACTCTTCATATAGATGCATCCCCATCAGCTGTTCACATTCTTGTGATTCGGTTTCAAAAGTCCCGTGGCAAATACCATTTTTTGGACCTGATCAACCGTTGACAACTAATTCTAATGCGGGCGGATTTGGTGAAAACCTGAAAGAAGTAACTTTGCACAATGGGCAAATCATAAAAGCATCATCAGGAAGCTTGTATTTCTGAGAACAGATTGGGAATATGCTGGTCCTAACAGGCTGTGAACATGCATGTTGCTGAATCATTCAGGTTGAGTTTAATAAGAGTTATTCCTTGAGGTTGCAATCAAATTTATCTTGCTTAATTTAATTAAGGGGCAAATGGAGGAGATTAAATTTCAGACAAATAAATGGAAGATAAATTTGGCATATCAAGTGAACACACATACCAGTATTAATTTGTACAGCTACAGCAAAAAGCACATGAACTGTTATTCATTTGTAACGTATTATGAGGCAATTGTTATTGATTAATCATGATAAAAACTTATTTTTTTTTTAATTTAAAATTGTATAAAGATAAGTGAACAATGTTGAATAGGGTATTTAGGTAAAAAAAATTATGTAACTCCCATATCATTAATTAATTGGGAGTTACAAAATCAAAATTCTATGATTTTTTTGTTAATATAAAAACCATATGAACACAATTATATATATATATAAGAACCATTGTGTCAAATACGAACAAAAATTTGACATATATATGAGCTTGAACTGCATAGCATTTATAAACACAATATGAACATAATAAGAATAACTGTTATACGAAAGAAAATAAATAAAAAAACATGTATGAACACGATATAAACAGCTTGTGAACAATAGTTCCTTCATTATAAACATATTCAGGAGCGATTCTTTGTCAATTGGAGTTTTATACATGCATTGCATCCACACTGTTTAAGGTTCACCCCTTGTTCATATATGTTTCTGATCGTGTTCACCTCTTGTTCATATCGTATAAAATATATGAACACATAACCCCAACGCTATGAACACCGGGTGCAAACACTTACACAAATATAAAGATTTGGTAGCAAGCTTAAAAAATAACATTTGTGTTCATATGATAGAAGTAACATGAACAYAATGGTTCATGATTTATAAAAGTCGGTAATATGACAATATGAAAATGGGTTGTGCATGTACTTCCATTTGATCATGTGAATTAGGTACGTATTTTAATAATTAAAGAAAAAAGATATCAATACAAGATGAGTTATAAAAAACACAACATATCGTAATGAACATAATTTCGATTAAAACGAATCTAAAAAAATAAAAATCTATTACCAAGACATTCGCTTTGATTAATTTCTTCAATTCCCGACCTCGAACTCCGATTGTCATCATAAACCATTTTAATCTTCTCACTGTTGTCGATTTATTTTCCATTGCGTTTATCTATATTAGCTTGATCGATACCGAAATTTTTTACTACCGTGTTTTCTATGCGAATTAAAAACTGATAAAACAATAAACATAGAAGATCAAGATTAAAATAAAATAAAATTATTAATATTATAAATGTATATTTTTTGGGATTTGATGATTTGTAACTCCCCATTAATTGTTTGGGAGTTACATATCAAATAATTTACTGAAATACCCTTGTAATTAAAATGTGAGCATGACATAAACCTACAAGAATAATGAAATTTGATTGGTTGTCATGGTTTTCAAAGTTAACACAAAATTATTAGTTAACATTTGATATTCCCCTATATAAATATATAAATATAACCTACATAATATTGAAACATAATCCATTTTAATATACAGTCAATATATCTAGCATGTGACATCTGCTGCTATGGAGATTTCCACCAATAAAAATATGTATATATTAATGTTTTGGGGTTAAACGTGTTCTTAAGATAACCTAAGGGATATTATGTTAATTCCATTATACATATATAATTAAAATGTTAAATAGTTAAATGTTGGGGTAGGATTTGATGAAGCAAAACTCTAGGGTCTTGTGGTGTCAAATCCCTAAAGTTCAACAAAAACAGGAAAGAAAATGGAACCTAGAAGAGTGAATCGGGAGAAGGAGAAAGCGACGATGTGGATGATAAGGCTTCAATAATTCGATTTCTTTGTGATTACTTGATACCTGCCGAATTAATGTTCATCGGAGGCCGGAGATTGAAGGCCGGAGAGATGAGAGAGAAGCTTTTTAAAAATACCTAAGGGGTGTTTGGGATTGCTTATAAAAACTGTTTTTTAACTTATTTCAGTCTGACACCGGTGATAAGCTGTTTTCTGGTGTTTGGATAAGAAAAAAAAAACTGCTTATACCGGTGCCAAACAGATAATAAGCTGTTTTT